TGAAATCTGGCTGAGGGCGACCTTGGCAAGAAAGGGAGCGACGATGTCTTGCAAACCCTCAGACATCTTGGAGAGGTGGTCGGACCAAAACCCAGGTCTGAGGAGGTCTCGCAACTCCGTCAGAAGCTGAGCACCTTTCCCATTGACGAGACCATACAAACGTGTCGGCGTCTGCGCACGAAGTTCGAAGGACTGAATCGACTTCTCCTGGATGTAATACAAAAGGTGCATGTATGGCCCCCTCATGGCCATGGCCACGTGCATCATGTGCCAAAAGTTGTCGTCATTCAGTGCACTCATGACATCTCTGCTCCAGCGAGAAAGTTGTTCTGTGTACTCCTTGGTGACACAAAAAGCTGGGGCCCCGCGGGCCCTATCCCCCCCGCCCTCCGTGTCGTTTCTAAGAAGACCTTGGATTGCTTCTAAGAATCACCCTGCCTTCTGAGAAGCCCCCCGTTTCGCAACTTTCACAACTCCGCCCGGGATCCTCGATCACATCGGTGCTCTCAGCAAGCAGGCCAGGTTTTTTCTTGGCCGCCTTCTTCAACAACACAGCCCGAAAAACCGATCGGATCTCATCCAGTTTGGCTTTAGCGACAAACTCCTCGCACTTCGCGATTTGCCCCCACCGCCCGTGTATACACTGGGGCGGAATCCTATGGCGGCGGCCCGAAACAGAAAGCCAACCCAGTACCTAAGCAACGAAACCGCGGCCCCGCTCCAGGGAACACCCTGCCCACTGGTTGAAGGCGGTGGGAGGGGGCCGCGGATAGGTTGCTCAGGCGCCGAGCGAGCTCCTGGCCCGAGCTTTGCGAACTCAAACTCAACAACATTTTGCACACACCCGTGTCCTCCCACAAACCTCGAACGCCCGCCCTTCGCCATACTGCCGCTTCCATTCGTCATGGATATCCACTCCCTTTTCCCTCCAGCAATGCATCAATTTTGACAACACGGCACCGTATTTCCACCCGAAATGCTCGGTCGTGAAATCGTTGAACAACTTGAGAGATGTCGACACCATGAGGTGACATTGGTGCGCTAAACAGTCAATATCAAAAAGCCAGACCCGCGGTACCCGAGCACAGAGGCCATGCAGAATCCTCCGAGAGCCAGCCTCGTCAGGGCCTGCGTCCGTGCATATGGCGTATACGTGGACGACGTGCGGCGGCGACTCCTCTTTGTCGAGACGGGATGGAGCTGCTGCCGGGCCTTCCTCATCCACGATCATCACGGCATCACCTCCAACTGCTACTGCATCCTCTGCTGGGCCTTCGGGCGGAGGGGGCATCGCCTCATCACTGCGCTCGTCAAGGATCGGGATGGGCTCCTCCGAATTGCGCAGATCTTCGATTGCTGGTGTGCCCACAGACTTCGCCTGCTGCATGAAAAGAGCAAAGGTGCCCTGCGCTTGATCGGATCGGACTGGCGTGAGCGCCCCAAGCATCCTGCGACAGTCGAGCCTGTCGTAAACCTTGTCACGTTCCCACTCCTCGTTCGCTCCCACTGGCTCGGACATGTACCACGATTCCATTTCTGAACACCTGATTTTCTGCCGCTGCCAGATGGCAGCGTTCGTTGCGTCGCCGCGAAGAACGTGGACTTCAAAACACCACGCGCCACCGTGGTTTGGATCATTGGCAAAAAACCTGAGGTCGCGTTGATGTTGCTGGTGGAAGCTGAGAGATGCTGCCACCAACGAGGCGCGGAGGAGCACCTCGTATCTGATTACAGTCTTGCCAGACACGTCCATCTGCAGGGTCCACGTAAGACTCGAGGCAGATGTGTTGCCAGTAGCCCTCCGGACCCACCACCGAGGGTCATATATCTGTCAGCTTTCCCACGCTTGAAGAGAGCACTGGTACCCTTTTTGACAGCTTCCTTATGTGTCTTGACGGTATTCTTGTGCACCCTGAGTCTGGATGTCCTGCGCCGCAACGCTTGATTCTTGGTCCTGAGTTCACGTCTGAGCTCCACCACTGCCCTGTCCTGCTTCAGCACAAGCTTCACGAGTTGATCCCTACTCATGCTACCAACCTTTCTCGCTATACCCGGGCTCTGCGCTGAGACCAACGATGGTGAAGCTGCTGGGACGATCTGCGCGTTCAAGTTCGGTGCCTCGCCCCACGTGCTCCCTGCGTCTGACTGATCACATGATGCCGCCGCAGAGGCAGATGACGAGGGCTTGGAAGAGGAAGAACTTGGATAGGATGGCGGGTAGTATGAAGGGTGAGTCGGCCCAGCACTCCCAATTATACTGTTGATTACACTTTGCCAATCGAAAAACGCTGGAAGCGCTCCAACTCGCTGGAACAGCACAGGTGCAATACCCAAACCATACAGAACGTCATCGCCGTGTCGGCCGAGTTCAAATCCACTTGGCAATTGATTCCAGAAGTCTTTGCGTCTTGCCAAACTGCGAGCCTTTGGAAAGTCACTCCCCCATGACGTGACAATTGATAGAAGCCCACTGGAAGACAAGCAAATCACATCATTCCATTCCAAAAGGTTGGTTCGCAAACTGTCTGCCAAAAGGTCAGTTTGGAAGCGTGTGGCTGAAGCGGGGCGCGACGGTGGGAGCATGCTATGCTTGCGACTAAATGGCTGTGGGGCCCCTGAAACCATCGATACACAAGGCAGCCACGAGGCATTGCGGGTCTCGATTTTGCGGGCACCCTCTAGATCTGGCCCTCCCAACATACGCTTCAGGGGCCAAAAGGCCCCCCCCCCTCCCCCTCCCTCCTCCTCCGCCCCCCCTCCTCCTCGTCCTCCCCCCTTCTCCGGGCGCCCGCGTTCCCCGCCCAAATCTCATATATTACACGGAACTCAGAGAGCGAACGTTTTCAATAAAGGTGGTTCTGGAGCCCAAACCTTCAATTGAAGTAGCTTGCGCGATTCCGCCGACCCCTTAAAAGGAGTGAAAGCTTGCGACGAATCTGATGAATCAGGATTCCAAACCTTTAATATATACAAGTGGCAGAAATCAGAAAACCATATATAATAAAGTTCATACCATACATAATATGATGGCAGAAATCAGAAAAACATATATAATATAGAAATCCAAATCCGAAAACCATATATATAATAATGGCAGAAATCCGACAACCATATATCATATAGAAATCCGAATCCGAAAACCATATATAATATAGAAATGCGAGTCCGAAAACCATATAAAATATAGAAGCCCGAATCCTAAAACCATATATAATATATAATATCGAATCCGAAAACCATATATAATATAGAAATCCGAATCCTAAAACCATATATAATATATAATATCGAATCCGAAAACCATATATAATATAGAAATCAGAATCCGAACATCCATATATAACATAGAAAATCCACAAGAATCTTAATATATGAAGAAGAAAGGGGCTTCAGAGATGATGCGAAAACGGGCATCTCCGAAAAAAGCAAGCTTCACTTTTGAGCTCTGCGACGTCCATCCTTACTCAACAGCCGCTGGTGCTTAACGGGCCCTGGACACGACAGGGCCGTCGCGTTACCGTTGTCGTGCTTTCCATTTGTTGTGTGCCCCCTCTGGCCGGGGCCTGATCCAATTTGCTTACCCGATCCGAACCGCTGTTTTACGCGAACCGTGTTTTACAGGTTCGGTGGTCTATGTTGTTGCCCTCTCCACAATCAAGACCCAAGTCGGTCGAAAGCGGTGAAACATCGCCCTGCCGCTTCGAGGGCCCACCAAGCGCTGGTGTAACCTCCTCAGGGCCAGACCTGAAAATACAAGCGGCGGCGGAAAGAGGCATTAGCTGGAGAGGAACAACAGCTAAAGTAACAGCAGTCTAGTAGAAGGCACTGCTTGCATTGGGAAGCGGAACATAAGCACCGTGCTTTGGCCCAACATCGGGCCACATCGGCATTACCAGAAAGACCGTGTACGGTGGCTACTCGCCGTAGGCGTCGTCGATAACAACATATCCGCAGCCGCACAAATATCAGCATCACAACGGTCAGATGATCCTGGACCGTCGTGCTACTGCCGACGCGTTGGCAAATGTCGCAGACGTCGACGCAGACCGCACAGGCGCATGCGCGCGCAAGTGTCCTGTCTAGACCAACACATCGTTGATCCCTCGCTCCTGCACCCCCTCCACATGTTCGCCAACGTCTCTCTTCCAGCTTCCCCCCAGCCCCTCGTGGTTGGCCGTCCGCTGTCTATACCCCCCATCTCCTCGTTATCCTCATAGTCGTCCACCTGCCACTCCTCCTCCTCCACCCTCTTTTTCTCCTCCTCCTCCTCCTCCCCCCCTCCTCCTCCTCCTCCTCCTCCTCCTCCTCCTCCTCCTCCTCCTGCTCCTCCTCCTCCACGATCTCCTCCTCCTCCTCCTCCTCCGCCTCCTCCTCCTCCTCCTCCTACTCCTCCTCCTCCCTCCTCTCCTCCTCCTCCTCCTCCCCTCCCCCCCCCCTCCCTCCTCCTCCTCCCCGCCTCCGCTCGCGCCTCCTCCGCCTCCTCCTCCTCCTCCTCATCCTCCTCCCCCCCTCCCCCTCGTCCCCTCCTCCTCCTCCTCCTCCTCCTCCTCCTCCTCCTCCTCCTCCTCCTTCGCCTCCTCCTCCTCCTCACCCTCCTCGTCGTAGTCTTGATTGCAATATGTGCCCGCGGAATCGAGAAGTGCCACCGAAGCCCAGCGACCACAGGGATCACGAGTGTGTGCACAGCTGTGCCTAGGGTCAAGGAAACAAGAGTGGTATGCACTCCCGCTCCCCCTCTACCTCCCTATCCCTCTATCTCACCGCCTCTTCCTCACCCACCAACCCGCCCCCTTCCTCTCATGTACCCCTATCGTCGTCGATGTCGTCGTCCTCGGCGTCGCGTCGCCGTCGCCGCCATCGTCGTCATCGTCGCCTCGTTGTCGTCACGGCCGACGGGATGGCCGCCGTCGTCGCCGTCGTCGTGGTGCTCGTCGTCGCAGCCACCAGCGTCGTCACCGCCGTCGCCGCCACCTCCGTCCGTCGCCATCGACGGTGGGGTCCTGCCCATCGACAGGCAGCACCTGTCGAGCCTCGACACGTGCTCCTGAGCAATGGCCGCCGATGGCTGCTGATGCAACCATGCTGCTGCCTCTCCCGCCTCTAACGCTCCGCGCCTCTCTCCTCCTCCTCCTCCCTCTTTTTCTCCTCCTCCTCTTCTTCTTCTTCCTCCTCCTCCTCCTCCTCCTCCTCCTCCGCCTCCTCCTCCTCTTCCTCCTCCTCCTCCTCCTCCACCTCCCCATTGTCCTCCAGTTCCTCCTCCTCCTCCTCTTCCGCCTCCTCCTCCTCCTCCTCATCCTCATCATCCTCATCATCCTCATCATCCTCATCATCCTCATCATCATCATCATCATCATCATCATCATCATCATCATCATCATCATCATCATCATCATCATCATCATCATCATCATCATCATCATCATCATCATCATCATCATCATCATCATCATCATCATCATCATCATCATCATCATCATCATCATCATCATCATCATCATCATCATCATCATCATCATCATCATCATAGTATCATCAATCATCAGCATCATCATCATCATCATCTGTTCTTCTTCATCATCATCAGCATCATCAACATACATCATCATTCATCATCATCATCTTCAGCATCATCGTCCACAAATCAATAATCAGCATCATATCATCAGCTTCATCATCATCATCGCATCATCAGCATCATCTGGATATTCAACATCATCATCAGCATCAGCATCAGCATCTACTTTCATCTTCATCATCATCATCATCGTCATATTATCATCGTTCATCATCTTCATCATCCTCATCATCATCCTCATCCTCATCACCATCATATCATTCTATCATCATCATCAGCATCATCATAGCAGCATCATCAGCAGAGGCATCATTCATCTTCAGCAACATCAGCATCATCAGCATATATCACATCATCAGCTCTGACGTCATCATCACCATCTTCACCATCATCATCATCATCAGCAGATTCATCATCTTCAGTATCATCAGTATCAGCTCATCATCATCGTCTTTCAGCAATTCATCATTCATCATAATCATTCATCCCTTCAATCATCTCGACCATCTAGACTGATCATCATCGTCGTCGTTTCGTTGTCGTCACCATCGTCATTTCAGATTGTTCATTAATCATCTGCATCTTCAGCCTATCATCACAGCATCATCTATATCATCAATCATTAGCATCAGATCAGATCATCAACATCAGCATCATCATCTCATCATCATATCATCATCATTCATCAGCATCATCATCATCCTCATCATCGCCATCATCATCATCATCATCATCATCATCATCATCATCATCATCATCATCATCATCATCATCATCATCATCATCATCGCCATCATCATCATCATCACCATCATCATCATCATCATCATCATCATCATCATCCTCATCCTTCGCCTCGCCTTCCGCCCTCCCCCTGACCTGTCTCGCGCTCCTCCTGCTACTGCGCCAGGCACTCCTGGAGAAACGAGATGATAACGATCCCGTTGCTTCCAACACCTTCCTGGGATGCGTTCCGACCAGGATCTGGGTCGAAGCCAACTGCGGCGGCAAAAAAAATGGTAGCGGTATCGGCAGGCTGTCCTCCTCTGACATGCGGCGTCTCCTGCTGTTGCTGCTGATCCTCCTCCTCCTCCTCCTCCTCCTTTTCCTTTTTCCTTTTCCTTTTCCTCCTCCTCCTCCTCCTCCTCCTCGTCCTCCTCCTCTGCCCGAGCGTTCTCCTGCCCAGGCCGGCCATGAGCCAAGCTTGCGGTGGCGAGGGCGGGGCCACACAGACAGCCCGCAGCCCCAACTCTGCGGCGGCGCCCCTCCTCCTACTCTTCCTTTTCTTGGTGATGTCGATGTGTGGCTCCTCTTCTCTGTGATCATGTTGCTGGTCCTGCCCCTTCTCCCCCTCCCGATTATGATGCCGCCTGACGCTCGTTGACCAGAGGCTGGGTCTGAGCTGCCCGCAGACGGCGAAGACTGCGCGCGACCGCAGCCGCATGTACAGTTCCGATGCTCCTGTTTCCCACTCGTGTGACCAGAAGGTACCCATACCGCTACGCCACGGAATTTTCCCAGGGTTCGTCCTGGCCAAAATTCCGGAGCGAGTCCAGCGCTGGCGTCAGGGGCCTCCCAAAAGGCCCAACACGGCGATACCGAAGCAAGGGTAGCGGTTTGGGCACCTTTTTCTCCTCTGAGCGCGTGCCCACCTAAATTTCCAATTTTCCTGATTAGCACAAGAGAATTCACAACATGTCGTAGAACCCATGCAAGAACAGCAACAGAAGCAAGAGGTGCGGAATGAAAACGTGCCCACCCCTTTCCTCGTGCCCCTCGTGCCCCTCCCCCGCGGGCTGTCCAGGCACAGCGGGTGGCCTTGGACCTGCGGGCCTGGAAACACAGAGTGGTCGGCGCGAGGCTGCTCCGACGCGGGAGGCTTCCTCTGGCCCAGGCAGCCTCGGACCACTCTGCAGGGGGACATCTAAAAAGGCGGGAACTCGCCCTGGAACCATATATTAATGTTGTGCGCGCGTTGGGCTTACGGACGTGACCTCGAGAGTTCGAAGAGCTACAGAACCCTCGATCACGTCAGTGGACTGAGCAGCTTCGAAAGCAGTAGTCTCTAGAGGCTCGTGAGGCCCGAGGTCCTCCAACTCGACCGAGCATCGAACAAGTACTCTTGTTCTGCAACCGCTAAAGGCACCCACGCCCGAGGATACGCCCTAAACCCAGCCAGGGACGGGCAATGCAACCACGAGACGCCAAGCGTCAAAAGATCCGTCCCTGGGGGCGGGGGCCCCGTGTCCACCTGAGGGCAGAGGGAGGAGCAGGGGGGGGGGCCTCGCAACCTGGTGGAAGGCCATGCGGAGGAGGGGCAGGGGAGGGGCACTACGACCAGGCCGACCAGGAGGATATCGATATCGCGGGCCTCGACGGTCGAGGGTCGGGCGCCCGCCCAGCCCCCTCCTCAGTGGAGGGGCGCGACCTCGCCGAGGGGCCTCACGACGTCGAACGCCTCGCCCTCGAGGTCCCCGTCGCCAGGGCGCGAGGGAGGAGCGAGGAAGGAGGGGGGAGGAGGGGGACGGGGTGGTGGGAGGAGCACGGAGGGAGGAGGGGGATGGGACCGAGGACCGAAGATCTAGGGCCCAGGTTCCCGAACGCCCTCTGCCCGTGTGGGGGGCATCTTTGGGCGTGCGCGGTTTGTCCTCTGGGGTCTTCCCTGGGCATCCGGGGATCACTGTGGGCCTGCGGGGACGACCTCAAGGGCTCCCAACTTCGCGCTTCGCGCTGCGCGAAGCGCGAATAACTTCGCGCTCTCGCGCCGCCCCCCCCCCAACGGGAGGAAAGGAGGACGTGGAGGAGGGGGAGGGGGAACGAGGACCGCGAAGCGCGAAGCGCGAATCACTTCGCGCCCTCGTGGGAGCCCTTGTTTCTTGGGCATCCGGGGATCACTGTGGGGCCTGCGGAGACGGCCTCCAGACCCCATGGGCCTCCAGAGGCCTCCAAAAACTTGGAGAGCGACCAACACGCCCAGGGCGCGGGCACCGGAGGGAGTGAGGGCCAGGGAGCAGAACGCGCAGAGGCCACAGCGTGTCCTCTCCTCCACGCTCCTTCGCCACCTCCCCTCTGGCTCCTCCCTTCCCCGGCCTCCTCCTCCATCCCCTGCCCCCAGGGACGAAACCCACCGCGGCCTCGACCAAGATCACGGCCACGACGACGACACTGAAGAAGGCTCTGACGGCACTGTTAACGACGGACGACTGACGACTGACGGCTGAGGACTGACGACGGACGACTGACGACGACTGCCGACTGACGACGACCACGACGACGACGACGACGACGACAAACGTCGCAAGGAGTTTTGTACAATGCTCCGTTCCCCCTGAAGATTAGCGATAAAAAGAAACCCGAACCCTTTGGGAGGGGATCTGAGTTAGGAGGATCAACAACATGGGTGATAAGGGGGTCTTCCCAGCAGATGTATCAGACCAAACCACCCAGACCGATTATCCCTCATGCATAAACGGAGACCTGAGTGAGGCCGCGTGTTGATTATGTTAATCTCGATGGCCTGAGGCCCTCACAAGAGGTCCACAGTTAACACAGAAATCGGGGATCTTCTGACCGGGGCCAATCCAAACCCGGGTCAGTCAGGCCCTGCAGGACCCTGCACCCAAACCCGGGCCAGTGCGCCCCTTGCTCTGCAGGTTCCTGCAGAATCCGCTGCTTTGGCCGACCCCGATTTGCACCGACCCTCGTCTCTCGGGGATGGACAGGGACCCCTCTGGTGAAACGCGGCTTGGTGAAAACGACCTCGGGCCCAAACCTGGCGGGCGCAAGCCTGGAAAATGACGGCCACGGCGCCCTCTCGAGGACCGAACACGGACAATTCACGAATCGGCGTGTCACTGCTGGGGGTCCTGTCCACCCCCGATCGTACCCAGAAGACCTGGCGGGCGCAAGCCTGGAGAATGACGGCCACGGCGCCCTCTCGAGAACCGAAAACGGACGACTTTGGACGCCCGAGTTATCCGGGGTAACTCGGGTCCGGGGTAACTCGGGTTTGAGTTCCCGAAAAACGAACCCGAGTTATCCCTGACCCGAGTTACCCCTGATGATTCGGGGCTCTGACGACTCGCGAATCGACGAGCCTCGCGGCTCCCGACAAAACCTCTCGAGCCCCGCGCCCGGCGGCGGCGGCCGAGGCCGCTGGCCGCGCTCCTTGTCCTCCGCCAGCGCGAGCGGGTCGTCGGAGGGCCTCCCGTCGGGGTCCTCTGCGCCCGCGGAGGCAGGGAGAAGCGAGGGAAGGGAGGCGGGGAGGCGTGAGCCGAAGCCTGGACGAGGGAACCTTCGGGCGAGGAAAGCTCGAGAACCTCTGAGATCCGGCGGCTCTGGAGGGCGTCTCGGGCGCCGCGGCCCTCTCCGAGCGATGCAGAACGCTCTGAGAGCGTTCAGGAACACTCTGGAGCGGACTTCTTCGTCCTAGCCCCGGCCGAGGAAGGAAGAGAGGAGGGAGGAAGGGGGGGTGGCCGTCCGACGAGGCAGTGAGCTTCGTGCGAAGCCACAGCGCCGCCTGGAGAGGTCCGAGCTTCTCGGCCGGAGCTGGTGCGACACCTCGCTCACCCTCCAGTAAAGGAACGCGGAGATGATTTTCAGTGTCATGGTCAGGTAAGTGCCAGCAGGCCTCTACCATCACGCCGACTATCACCACTATCATGACCACCACGACACAACCACAAGACTGCACGGCTACCAACACCACCGCGACGGGGACTACGACTCCAGCTGAGGGCCACTGCCAGGACGCCAGCGACCACAACCACTACCCCGACAACCACGACAATGACCGGAAAGGCGAGCCACAACTGCCATGACTGCCATTACTACCAGCACGCCCTCCACCAGTTCGACCACAAGCAGCACGACCACCACCACAGCGTCCACCACCGAGGCCACTTCCACGACCACCAGCACGACCAGCACTGCCGTCTCCGCCCTGCGTCATTCCTTCCTCCTGTCGGGCCACCCCTCGCGCGTGTTCCATTCTTTTGACGTTGCTCCGATATTGATCAGAGATCGTTGCGTACTGGGTGTGCAACAAATATAGTACGCCGACTTAGGCCGAGAGCAAACTAATTGAGCCTGGCAGGCCCAGCGGGAAAGGCTAGGCTGAGAGATGCGAAACAAGCATGAAGGCCCTACGGCCATAGAGTAGGCCTGTACCCCTCCCCTCCCTCCCAGGCTGCGCTGTCCCAGCTCAGGGCCGAAGACGGCTCAAAGCGGGCCATCTTGCAAGTGCGAGCGCAGGCTCGCCACGGGCCCATGTGGATCTGGACCTATCCCCACACGACGGTCCTCGTGGCCACTCGTCCAAAGGGTGGACGAGTGCCGGGGCCGCGGAGGGTGAGGGAGGTTGTGGAGGAGGCAAGGGCATCACTCCTAGGGATAAGCCTGCCCGCAGACTCGAGAGTTGAGGAAGGCGAGGAGGAAGAAAGCCGATCTAAACCCAAGACGCATCCATGATGTTGCAACACGCCCTCCCTCCGAGCTCCCCCTTCACTCTCCTCCCTCCTCCCTCTTCCCTCCCGCCCTCCCTGCCTCCTTCCTCCCTCGCAACCTCGGAGGCGACGATGGGTGCGAATATCCCAAGGGAAAACAATACATGAACCCAAAGGCTCCGATGGCAACCCGCACATCCGGCTGCAACATGTTTTTCGATGCGTGAGCTCCATCGGAGGCCCAGACCACTTCCCCATAGGCCGGTTCTTCGCCCTGAATCATTCTTTGTTGCGGTCCTGGGGCCTGGCGAGGGCCCCTAGAGGCCGAAAGCAGCTAAAAACCTACCGTTTTTTGGGCAGCGTCGGATCTCTGAGGCTTGGTTATTCTGACGGGCAACGGTATGGGGGGGATAGGCATCGGAGGGGAAACATCGACCTAGAATCGGCGATACATCACCGACAAATCGGCGATAGGCCACCGATAGTGAATCCGCTCGCTGTTGGGCAGATTGGGGTTCACGGGCCCCTATCGGCGATCCATGGACGATTGGGGGTCGATGCGTCCCCCCTAATCATGCCTACCGCCCCCATCGCTGCCCCGAAATAGCTCGCCCCTGTCGTCGCCTCTGACAACCCCTCCGGGCACAAGCCGCCGAGACCAAGCGAGTCCGCGGAACCTGCGCCGGAGGGGCGCGTCCTCGGCGCGGTGGTCGCCCCCGTGGATGCGCATCTTCGTGGCGGCCTCCGCCCCCAGAGCTTCGCGGCGGCCCCCTCTCGCCCCTCCACTCGCCACGGAGCCCTCTCCACCTTTTCCTCCTCTTCCTCCTCCTCCGCCTTCACCTCCTCCTCCTCCACCATTTTTCCCTCCACCCTTTTTCTTTTCCTCCTCCTCATCCTTATAGCCAGCAGCAGCATCATCAGTGTCGCCATCATCAACAGCAGAATCAGCAGCGCCAGCATGATCATCCGTATCACACACACACGCATCATCTAATATAACCGAAAGCGGCGTCTGCCAGGCGGCCCTTACATCACGAACCTTCCTGGATGCCCCGGGTGTCAATAAACAGCTGTCACGGCGGCCTTCCACTCGGCGTCCCTGTGGCGCAGTACCGCGCCCACCACGTGCGAAAAATTGCCGACCACAGCTTGCTGAATATGGCGAGCGCAATCATACATGCGCTTGAAAATGTAGATGTCCATACGCGCCGCCCACCCTTCCTTCTAGATTCGCTTGAGCCGTGGATTGCGTCGTCTGTGACTGACTGTGTCTGTGTCGCCCAAGTACCAGCTGACTCGGAGTGACGAGAGGGAGAGAAAAAAGTGTCGGGGGAGAAGATGAGAGGGATGACGAGGAGGGTGAAGAGGTGGAGGAGTGGCAAGAGGAGGAGAGGGAGGGGTGGTGAGGATGAAGGGGGGGAGAAAGATGTGCAAATGGGCAAGAAGGAGGGTGGATAGAGAGAGGAGGGAAGAGGAGCAATGAGGAGGAGAAGGAGGAAGGATGAGAGGACTGCGTATTTGGACTGCGTGGAGCAGGCGGGCCCCTTGGGGCAGGTCCAACCTGTTGCGAAGGCCAACCGCCCCGGACGGCCCACGGGCCAGCGCAACGGGGTGGCGCGGTGGCACCCCGAAGGGGTGCCCCAGAGGACTGACCCGCGGGGCCCGCCCGATATCGGTGCAAGCGCGGGGCACGCACGGGGCACGAGGCTCCGCTCTGGCAACCGACAGCGCCGCCACCCGCCCGCACAGCGTGGGAGCGCCGCGCAGAGAACACCTTCCCGCAGTGCCCCCTCCCGGCGAGTGCAGGCGCCGGCCCCGGCCGCCAGCGAGGCCGCGGCACACAGCGCGCCCCAGGGAGGCTCCGAGACTAGTCCAGGACGGCGGGCGTCCCGGGGCGGCGCCGGAGGCGCCCAGGGCTCGCCCCAGGAAGTCCGCGGGAGATGCCGAGCGCCTCGTCAGCGAAGCGTTCAGCTTGTCACATTGGCTCGTGACGCCTCCCAGCGTTATGTTGTTCCCCGTACTTAAGGGCCACATTCCAAAAAAGTATCGGAACAGTGACTACCCGACACGCTGGCGAAATGTCGAGCGAGTATCGCCTCGCAGGGCCCGACACGAAGAAATCCCCCAGTTTCGGTACTTTCTTGGTGCTCGAAACTCTTTCTGGTGGTCAAGGCTGAAGTAAGTTGGAACAGCATTACCCCAGCGGCCCGGGGCCCGGGCCCGTGTGGCCGCCAAGCACCCATCACAGTGAGTTGTCCCCGCCAGTCCGAGGGGGCACAAAGCGCCCCACGACGCACGGCGCATGTTCCCGCATATGGCTCGGCGAGGCCAAACCCCGCAGGGCCGCAGAACGCGGCGCTCCGAGAGGTCCCGGGGAGGGGATGGGAGGAGGAGAGGGGAGGATGGGGGGAGGAAGCGGCGCAGGAAGGCCGCGCGGCGCGGAGGGTGGCGAAGTCAGCAGCGGGCGCCCTTGTCCACGAGGGCGGGTCACGCGGTCCCTCCGTCACCCCTGGGGCCTGGCCAGGCTGGGTGTCCGACGTGGCGGGGCCGCCGCCTTCGCTGGGGCGAGGGGCCCCTGGCGGCGGTAATCACGCCTCCGAGACGGTGCAGACGCTGCGCTGCGCCGGCGGCGCCGCCACCTGGCCGCGCGAGGGTGAAGGCGGTCCCGCCACGGAGGGCGGGGGAGCTGCGGAGATGCCGGCGTCTGGCGCTCCGGGCGCGACCCGTCACTGTCATGGCGGCTGCGGCTGAGGCTGCGGGGTCGATCGGAGCGGCATCCCTCGGGCTGCCTCGCCGAGAATGCTGCCACTCCCCCACTTCTTTTAGCCCGGCACCAGAACCAGAAACGGCTCGCGCGGGCGGGCGACGCAAGACGAGGCGGGCGGCAAAACGGCCCCCCATCCCTGCCCAGGCAACCCCCCAGTCCACCGAATCTGCCATGCTCGGCGACAAGCGGGCGGCAGAGCGGGGCAGGGGGCGAGGCGAGAGGGGCATCCTGCAAGCCCCCAGACGGCAGGATCTGGCCCCCGGGCCCATCGCCCTGGCCGCCCCCAAACCCCTGGCGGTTGCGGGGCAGTGTGGCTGGCCGAAGTGGGCAGGGCAGGTAGGGCAGCCCGCGAGGCCGCATTACCCTCCCCGGCCCATCCCTACGGCCGCCCCCCGCCCCCAACCTGCATCGGTGTGCGGGGCAGTGGGGCTGGCCCAGGGCAAGTGGGACCGCCCTCGAGGCCGCAGGACCCTCCCCCCAGCCCCAATCCCTGGCGACTGCGGGGCAGTGGGGCTTGCCGAGTGGGCAGGGCAGGTGAGACGGCCCGCGAGGCCCAAAGGGAGGAGGGCTATGAGGAACAACGGGAGAAGGGGGAGGAACAGAGAGATGAGTGGGACAGGGACGAAGAGAAGGGAAGTGCGGAGGAGGAGGAGAGTGAGAAAGAGGAAGAGGAGAAGGAGAAGGGAGCTGGGAGGAGTGACGAGATGGATGGGAAGAAAGAGGCGTCATTTAAAGTTCAGCTTGGAGTCTCGTGGGGCCTTCTTGGTGCCCTCTTCGCAACCCCCGTCGACTAAGTGCATTCCCTTTGGGCCCTCTGAGACGCCCAAGTCTGGCCCCCAACCATTCGGTCAGAATCAGCCGCTACTGTGGGACTGCAATACACAAGAAAATAAACGATGGATCGATGCAAGCGCTCTGCCGCTGGGAAAAGTAGGCGAGAGAGGACGACGCCCACGAGCAGGCCTGGAACCTGATGTATTCTTCCTCCTCCTCCTCCTCCTCCTCCTCCTCCTCCTTTCCCTCCTCCCTCCCCCTCCTCCCCCTCCTCCTCATCCTCCTCCTCCTAATTACTACTCGTCAGCTCGTCGCCCAGTTCACTGCTGCGTGACGCGATCCCCCCCCAGCACTGCTTACTTGATCGCCTCCCAAAGACAGTCCTGGCCGTGGCCTCGGGGGCCTCCCAAGAAACCCCAAAAAGAAGACGGAGTGCATCGAGAAACTCCTCATCTCATCCTCCCTCGAAGCCCGGCCCAAACCCGTCCCGAAACCACTCATGGGGGATACAGCGTGACCCGGCCCTCACCCTGGATCGAGTTCTAACGGCCCCGGGGACCGAACCAAGCCCCTTGAGGCCGAAATTGCGATGTAAAGACACACGCGCACACACACACACACACACACACGTACAAACACACACACACACACAAGTACACGTACACGTACACGTACACGTACACGTACACGTAGACGTAGACGTAGACGTAGACGTAGACGTAGACGTAGACGTAGACGTAGACGTAGACGTAGACGTAGACGTAGACGTAGACGTAGACACACACACACACACTTTGTACGTCGCAGCGCAGCAGACGCGATCCGCACGCGAGTCTGGGCGAGACCTGGGCACGGCGACGCGAATCACGCACACACACACACACACACACACCAAACAAACAACAACTCCCCGATTCTCGATCTTCCCCCTGGCTCCCGGGGTCCTGCTCGATGCGGGGGTCGATGCAGACGTTCACCGTCTTGTCGATCTCCTGCAGCATGTGCGCCAGCTCATCGCCGAGAGCGCTGAAGGCGCGCGCTACCAGCTATTCTCACGCCTGCTGTTTCCCCCGCATCCACCCCCCGAACGACTCCCCGTCCTCATCCTCCTCCTCTTCATACTCCTTCTTTATGTATTACATTCTCTCTATCTCTCTACACCTACAAAGTACATATAGATGAGCCTCCATAGAATACCCCTCCACCTTCTCATCCTCCTTTTCTTTCCCCAAGCCCGGCTGGCGAGACCCAGGTCCTCCGCCCTCACCCCTTCTCCCTGCATCCTCATCACCCTCTGTTGTGCCCCATCCTGCCTCCCTCCTCATGCTTCTTCCATGCTTCAGTCATGCATGCCTCATAATGTCTCCTCATCCTCATTCATTAAGCCTCATTGCGCCTCGTCGTCAGCACCACCGCCATCAGAGTCGGCATCAGCATTGCCATCGTCAAACTACCGCCACCAACATCACAATCACCATCACCATCATCAGCTTGCTCATCCTCATCTGCCTCCTGCTCATGATCATCTTCATCGCCGTCCTCCTCATCATCACCAGCATCGTCCTCAGCATCAGCAGCAGCATCAGAATCATCGTCTTGATCATCAGCATCAGCAGCAGCAGCAGCAGCATCATAGCACTCACCATCCGCATCCTCGTCGTCACCATCATCACCGGCAACGGCATCGGCACAGTGAAGCAGGCCACGAGCACCAGTCGACCATAAGCATCGTCATCACAACTACCATCAGCATCAGCATCAGCAGCCTCATCAGCAGCATCGTGATCATCTACATCAGCACCACCAGCACTCCTCCTCCTGACGCCATGCCTCACACCGCACGCTCCTGCTCCGACCCCGCCTCTTCCGCGCTCCCGCCTCCGCCTCCCTCCTTCTCCTGCTCCGCTGCGTCGCGCTCTGTCCGAGCGCTCCGTGATCGGGACCTGGCGAAACCCCTATCGCCCTGTAGATACGAACCGCGACTCCTCCTGATCCTCCTCCTCCTTCTCCTCCTCCTCAAACTCCAACCTCCTCAAACCGGTCAAACTCTTCCTCATCCTCGTGCTTGTCCAAACCTTCTTCCCCCTCTTCCTCCTCCAAACTCCTCTCTGGCCGACTGTCTCATCTCCCCTCAGCATTCCTCCTTCCTCCATCCGCATTCATCCCGCGCCTCCCTGCTGGAAGGAGGAAGGTGGGCCTGT